TCTTTTTAATAAAATAATATTTTCATAATTCCTTATATGCATATATATATGCATGTATGTATGTATACCACCCCCGTTTCCCGGCGCTTTTACTTTCAAAATTGTTAGTCGTAGTAATACAGTTGTATTGCAGAAGTGTTTAAATGACGGAAATATTCATACTTTGGCAGTGTCAGATTTAAAAGCATTAATTTTGGACAAATAAAGAAATCTAACTTGCCCTCCCTATTCCTATACTTATATTTTGGGGAAGTTTTATATTCGTCATGAAAAAAAGAAAATTATAAGAAGTTTTACTCCCGTACTGACCGGGATATTTAATTTCAAAACTTGTAATGTTTTAAATCATTTGAAACTTGAGGGATTGAGTAAAGAAATGAGTTTAAATGCAATGCAGCAGTAAATGTGTATGAGTTAATAGGCCGTACAAGGAAGTCAAGTGGTGCTATTTCAAATTTTTTATTTTACTTAGAAACTGACATAGCGTGACTCATTCAAAAAATGATTAAAGCTTGAAAAACATAAAAGATTCCTTAAAAATTCTTTTATGCTTGAAAAACATAAAAGACAACAATAAAATTAACAATTAATTAATTTTTTTTTTTTTTTTTTTTTTTTTGTTTTGTTTTCGCTTTAGAAGAAAATAGATGAAAATTTCTCGATTTCGTTAGCTATTCATTAAACGCTTAATAATAATTAACATATAACTCGGTTATCATCTTTACTTTAAACAAAATCATAAAGATGACATCAGATTGCTACAATTATCCGTGAGAGAGGTTACAGTAATTAGTTATAATACAGGAGCAAATCTCCTGCATCGCCTGTGTAGTAAAACCCAATGACAATGCGATAAAACCACCATCCATTACCGATTATTCATGACCACCATTGCCACCGCGCCCAAGGAACAAATGATGCTTCCGATTTCTAATTCCGGATCAAGCACCAAGCCGCCTATCATATTTTACCAGAACTAATAATTTTTGGATCATTGGGTCAAGGCTTCTCCTTTGCAACTACGGGAGAAATCGTTACTTCTCTTTGGCTCGACGCGTGAGGTGGCTGCAGAGCGTGAATTTCGGACGTAACCTATTTCCCAGTGAGCTTCCATCTTAGTGGGTGATTGTAGTATTGATTTCTGTTTAACCAAGGAGGACTTTCCATTTTGACAACGAGAGCAGTGAACATCCGTTTCTTTTCTCGGTTCGTTCGTTGAAGAATTGAGTTATTAACTTTGCATATAGAATTTGTATATATTTCTCCATTGAAGTATAGACTTTGCTGTTTGGTTTATTTATTTGGTTTGTTGAGATTGCGGCAAAACACACTAGAGCTATCTGCCTAAGGGAAAGGATGCCTTCGTGGAGGACTTTCTAAGGGAACTGGCTCTTATACACGTTACACGTGGGGAAAACCACGAAAACGCCCATACAGCCAGCCCGTTCGCGGGATTCGATCCTCGGACCGAACTACCAGTGTTCAGCGACTTTACCGCTCGGCCGCTGGTGGGCTCTTTGCTGTTTGACCACATATGAATCATATCACATTCTGGAATGCTTAACTAAATAGGAAAAGTTGAAAACAAAAAAGGTTCTAGTGTTTAGTTTATCTCTGCATACCTTCATTTTACACACATGTACAAGAATAAAATGTATTCACAATGCTTAAGAAAAAAATTGATGTGGACACCACATAACTTCTTTGTACACCAATTAAATTATATATATATCTTTTGCTGCACTTCATTTAAACTTATTTTCGTGAATAACTTAATTAACGGACCACTCAAGGTAAATTGAAAATGACACCAAAAATTGCAAATTTTGAAAATATTTATCACGGCCTATTTCTGTCGCGTGGGAGTCAAACTTCTGGTATTTTTTTATTTTTTCATAACGAGTATAAACTTCCTCAAATATAAGTACAGGGACCAAGCGACCGTATTGAAAGTGAGATTTCGTTATCTATCTAAAATTAATTTTAGCTGCAAAAACATGAATATTTTCGTCGTTTAGAACATTAAACCACTTCTGTAATTGGAAATATATGTCTGTGACCAACGATTGCAAAAATAAAGGCTGACTAAGGAATTTTAAACCAGGTAAGGGGAGGGTTATATGTATGTTACCGTGAAAGACCGAAATTGGAGAATGTCAACATTCACCAAATAAGTCGGTGAGAGATCGAATATTGTGTTACATTCTTGTACATTCGGACCCTCACCAGTGTATGTCGACAATTCACAGATATGCTCTGGGTACGTCGAAAAGAGAGGAGTATATGTACACGCTGTCATCGCAAAAGGAAGTGTTCCACAAATAAATGCAGTTGTAAAATCAAGGGCCTCTTGTGCAATTCAAAGTGTCATAATAGTGTTGTTGCAATAAATAAGATTTGCATAACATAGTTTACTTTTATTTTATTTTCTCATTTTCTATTATTTTATTTTCATTACTATTATTTTATTTTCTCATTTAGAACGTATTGTATAATTAAATTTTTAGCTTCTATTATTTTCCTTTCTCATTTTGAATGTACTGTGTGTTTTAAGTTCTTATATTCTTATTTTAAGTCTCAAGTGCGTTTTTTCGCGACTGAATTGCGGAGAAGAAAATATAATATTCTTATATGTTCAACATCCACCATTAGCACATGGTGACTGTCGACATTTACCAGTGTAAGTCAGAAATAAGAGTGTTTGGAAAATATGTCGGACATATACCAAGCGACTATGTGAATGTTGACATTCACCGGGGAAAGTCGACATTCTCCAGATTTCGGTGTTTCACCGTAACATACATATAAATACACTACTGATACTGCCGATTGCAATAAAAAACGAGGTGCATAACTAAATACTATATCAATCTCATATACAAATTTCCAATGTTAATAGTTTTTAAATTATACGAGATACATACGTACTACGTACATACACAAGTACAAATGTCACGAAAGAATCCATTTTCAAGAAATTTAAATCCATTTTATAATCAATTTTGTAGAAAACATACATATATTCTATCCGTACGTACAAATATTACGGAAAAGAAATCTTCCAAATGGATTCGGGAACCATCAAAAAAAGATACTTTCGTTGTAATATGATACCGGAAATTTTCGCTCTTAAAATACTTCTTTTGCTTCTTACAAGGAAACAAAAAAGAATTGGAAGGGATCTGAGCAAAGTCGTTTTCACATGTTTGGGCTTTTGAGTAATTCCCGCCTGATACCACAGTAAGATCGTTAATAGCCATAAGATCGTAAGGATAGCTTATAAGGTATTTTTCCCGCCTTTTTAGCGAGCCTTCATATTGTGGTGGTCTACACGCTGGGCGCGTATTTCAGAGGTCCATGGTTCGATTCCCGGCGAAGGCGTTGCATATTTTTCATCTCTCCTGCTTCCGAAATAAACCTAATGATTCTACAAGCTATAAACATACATTATTAAGAGAAGCAACATCCGAAAAAGAAGACTGGAATATTTCTGAAAAGAGCAGAAGCACTTTTAGTTATCGAACAACAGTTACTGTAAATCACAAAATTTCGATTCCGCAATGATCAAGATACACAGCGTTTCTGGATCATTGTTTCTAAGGGGACATAGGATCGCCAGATCATTATATTATGGAATATTAAGATGTCTTGTTCTGGCATTATATTTTTTATTTTTCCTTCATGTACACTGCGAAAAAAAATGGGACAGTTCTATATTTCCCGTTCTACTGGGGCGATTCACGAAATTCACCTTGCGTTTTCCATATCTCGAAAGCGCGACTTAGGATATGTATTAGATTTATACATAGCAGGGGTGGCTAACCCCTGCGGCTCGCGAGCCACATGCGGCTATTTGAAGAATTATTTGTGGCTCTCGATAAATGTACCCGAGTTCCCTTTTCATTTTTGTGTTATTATATTTTTAAAAATTATTATCGTTCCGTATGTGTTTCAAAATGTCTTTTAAATTACTGACAACAAATATGAAAGACTAAGTGCAACGTTGTAACAAATTTCATTTCCGTTCAAGTTGACTCTTTCTCATCGAGAGAGGGCAAAATCTCTATACTCTAAACATGGAAAACGCCTATGTCTACGAATTTCCCTTGAAATGCTTTTCCTTCCCCCTATGACAAATTGAATATTCTACAACGCTAACAATAACCTACTTAAGTAAAGCGAGAACTTCTTTATTAGATGCTTTCACACGATACATCTCTTGAATATAATTTCACCCTGTGTGAAGGAATATAATTTCCCCCTTGGGACGGGATTGCAACTTCGGGCATCAAAAGTTAAACATTGACAGTAAACAAAGGAAAGAGAAGGGGCATTAAAATAACAGAACTACTTTTAGTTGCTTCTAGAGAATGATTGACATGTCATTTAACAACAACTGAAAGCAATGAACGTGATGAGGGAAAGCACTAGGTAGGAAATATTCAGGCGTTTGGGGGGGGGCGCCCAAAGTCCAATGTCTGAATGCGAATCCAAACTGATTTTGAGTTTGTAAACTTTCATTGCAACGGACAGTCGCACATGGTGCTTTGGAGGAAACCAATTTGTATCACTCTTGCTACGGATATGATTTGTAATCTGGGATTTTTGGTAAGTTAACTATAATTTGCTTCGTAGTATGTAACACATGTTGTTATTGTTTTAATAACACAAAACCTGTACTTTCTAAATTTCTTTATTTATTTCCAGTTTTTTTAAAAATATGACGACAGAGAACGAAAATAAAAAAAAGAAAATACGAGAAAGAAAATGGAAGTTTTAATAATGAGTGGGAGGAGAATTTCTTTTTTATTGACAATAACGGAAAAGCATTATGTATCATTTGTAATTCTACGGTCAAAAATTATAAAGATAGCAATTTACGTCGACATTATGAAACCAATCATCCTCAGTTTTATAATCAGTATCCATCAAATTCCAAATTAAGATCAGATAAACTTGCTTCTTTAAAATCAAATTTAAATACACAACAGTCAATTTTGATGACCTTCAGCAATCAAGCTAATAATGTGACTGAAGTCAGTTTTGTTATTGCCTGGAATATTGCTCGTGCAAAACGCCCATATGGAGAGAGAAAGTTTATTAAAAAAAACTTGGAAGATGCACTTAAAGTTTTAGATCCAAATAATGAAGCATTGCACAAAGTTGTTTCGCAAATTCCCATCTCGAGACACACAACTGAACGACGCATAACTGCAATTAATACATCTCTTGAATATAATTTAAAAAATGATTTGAAGAACTGTATTGTATTCAGCTTAGCCCTTGATGAATCTACAGATACCGCAGATCTTCCGCAATTGGCAGTTTTCATACGTTTTGTTTCACCTGACTTCGTTGTTAAAGAAGAATTATTAGATTTAGTCGCATATCAAGAGTCAACCCGCGGTGTCGATATTAAAAATGCATTAAATTCCATAACGAAATCTTTTGATATGCCTCTTAATAAACTTGTCAGCATTGCAAATGATGGAGCTCTGGCAATGCTGGATAAAAAAAATCGGTCTTATTGGGCTTTTAAGAGATGATTCTCAAATTCCACAATTCATACCGATTCACTGTTTAATTCACCGAAAACATCTCCCTACAAAATATCTAAAATATCCTGATGTTATGAAGACAGTGTTACACATTGTAAATTACATTCGCACCAATGCAAAAAAATCATCTACATTTCAAAATTTCCTTGAAGAATTAAAGGACGAACAACTTCCAAATGACACGAATTTCTTTTGTATTATTAGAAGGTTATTTAGCTATAACGTACTAAATCGATTTGTTTGATCCGATAGCTGCATTTCTAAAAGAAAAGAAAATAATCTATTCAGAATTAGACGATGACGAGTGGTTACAAGACTTAATGCTTTTGACTGATGTCATGGAACATTTGCAAATACTGAATTTACAATTGCAGGGGAAGGATAAAATAATATCTGACCTCTCACAGTGTATATTTAGTTTTCAAACTAAATTATAACTTTTTCAAAAGGACATTAAAAATAAAACATTTTGTCATTTTCCTCGGATTAAAAAAAATTTGTTCCAATATTAAACAAGAAAAATTCAACGAGTATGTTAAAAAGCTAGAAGGAATATTGACGGAATTCCAAAATAGATTTCAAGATTTGAAATATTTTAAATCGTCTCTTGATTATTTTCTGAATCCATTTGAAATTAACATAATTCAAGGTGATTTTTCCATTTCCAATATAATTATTACCCAAAAAGCATCTGGAGAATTAGAATTAATAGAGATGCAAGAAGATCAAGCTCTACAAATAAAATATAAATCGACGCCGATTACTGAATTTTGGAAACTTGTACCAGAATCTAAGTATCCTCAATTAAAAAAAGGCTGATTGTCGAATTATTTCAATACTCGGAACGACGTACTTATGTGAATCATTTTATTCCACTTTAAAATTCGTGAAATATGAACATCGATCAATATTAACTAACCAGCATCTCAAAGAATTACTGAGATGTGCTGTCACCAATTATTCACCAAATTTTAAAGAATTATCAAGAGAAATAAAATAAATGTGTTTAATTTTTAATATTTAAATTCAATATACATATTTTGTACTTTTATTTATATGTTTTCAATAAATATAATTTTCTGTAAAAAAATTTAATACCTTTTAAATACGTATTTAATTGCGGCTCGCGAAAATTTCAAATTTTGAAAAATGGCTCGGGCTATCAAGGAGCTTGGCCACCCCTGATATACAGCATTGTTCTAATATAGGTGTTTTAACACAAAATCAGACCTTTTCTGAAATGACATGCCAATTTTTTTCCATATTTCAATTCTACGGCTTAAATTATGCCAAACTGCCAAGTTTTGTAAAAATCGCACGAGAAGGTTTTAAAAATTTCTCTATCAAAGATTTAGCTGCTCTGTGTTAATTAAATTTGATATATAATTATTAATATCTCTTTTTTTTATTAAACTTACTTGATTTTTTCTTCAAGAATTCGAAATTTAGGCTTAATTCAAATATCATTCTCACATCTTTTATGATCTGTTTTTAAAATTCGTATTTTTAAATACTTTTTATAAATTTTTCGAAAACATTTTTGTATTATAACCTATAAAATTTTACGTTTGCATATTGGCGAGTACGTATTATGAGCGATAATAACGAAAATGTGGTTTACGCACTTTGTTAAAAAAACTATTTGAAAGAATGAACGATGGACCTTCGCTCGTGCATCAATGAATAAAAGAAGAAAGTAAGTAGGTTGCCATAAATTAAGAATTTCACGAAGTGAATTATTCTTGGCGGAAACTGAAAAAATTCCCCAAGATAAATTTTTAAATTTCGCACTAAATTTTACAAAATTTAATATTTAGCCATACATTGAGTCATAGAACTGAAATATGGAAAAAAATTGGTATGCTATTTCAGAAAATGTCTGAGTTTGTGTCAAAATATCTATATTAGAACACTGCTATATATAAATCTAATATATATCTTATGTCGCGCTTTCGAGACATGACGCAATTTGAATTTCGTTCAACGGCCCAGTAGAGCGGGAGATATAGAACTGTTTCTACCTTTTTTTGGCGCAGTGTACATATGTTTAAAAATTTATACATTTAAATTATGTATTGAAATAAGTTAAATGCGAAAAACATTATTACTGTAAGTTAAAAATATCAATCTAGCCAATGACGGATTTGGAACAATACGCGTTAACCAATGGTAAAGGCCAAGTGGCCCCATTCATGGTCAACTAAACGAAACCAACATCAAGCAAAAGGGCTTCACAATTTTATGAAAACTTCAATAGCTATTAACAATCTTAACTGCAATGAAATTTCGTATTTTGTTTACATGAAATAACCACCTTCTACATTCCTTCCAGATAATCTCCTCCTCTCCCCGCCTCCAGATAAAGCTGAGTTGCTGCAAATGACCAAATCAATCCTCCAAAATGCTGCAAAGACATCTCGCGTTGAAGCAGAAGTGCCTTTTCGGTTAGTCCACCTTTTGCAGTCATCGACATTTTACTTGTTTTTTCTTAAGTAATATATTGGTTCTTAAGTAATATATTGGTTTGTGAAATGAATGGTATTAAAATTTCTTTTAAGTACATAATAATAATAATAACACTATTAATTGTAACGGATAAATTAAAAAGGGTAAACCGTCAGTGATACTTCGACATGGAAAGAAGACTTCAAACGAATACCCGTAAAAAGTACATATTGTGTTTAATGTTTGTAGAGTATATCTATTTATTATCGAAAACGAAAAGAAGAAATTCAAAAACGAACTCCAGAGCTTCAGAAAGCTCGTATAGTCTCCAAAATTTGTCAAAGCATTCAAAGCTATACTTTCAACTTCAGCTATGAAAAATCATAACATAATATTAATATAATTTCTTCACATAATTCCTTCAGCTTTGCCAAACATTGCCATCCGTAATTTGCAAACTGAGCTGAATGATGATTACTACATTTCTATTAGAAATGCCAGTTTCGAAATTTATGTAGTAAGAAAGAAAAGAACAAGGAAGCTCTTTCAATCAAAACTGAGAAGGAGCTGGAAAATCTTTGTCATCCCAATCGCCCAAGGACTTCATCTCAGTGCTTGAGTAGACTTGTTCCCACTTGTAATCCCTCATGAATTTTCTCCTGGAGGTTATATGCAGAGACATACAGTTAAAGAATAGCAGTAATGCATTAGATTCGGTTAGAGTATGCGCCTTGCGTTGCTATGCATGACATCTTAAAGATGATAAACTTCCATCTCCCAAGCGCAAGTACGTTTTTCAATTACTATATCGCTAGGAATTTTACTAGCAGTTAAACTTAATATAGATCAAACTTAATTTTGATTTACGTCTTCTTTATTCTCTCATAACAGAAGAATATACATACTGAAAGTACGCGAAAGAAAACTTAAGAGTTGGATAGGTTAATTGCAGCCCAGGCTGGTTAGAATGGATGCCACGTGTCATCTCAGAGAAAGTGATTATCAATTTTGTATTTTCGGATGCCATAGTACTCCTGCTTGCTCTACCAGCTGATAAGTGGTTTTGCTTACTTATTTGGTAGGAAACAACCAGGTGCAGTGTTTGAGAGAAAATGATCTTAGTTGGTTTCGTAATACTGTAATCTTCAAAAGGCAAATTGCCTCAATCTTGCTTATGTAAGGCACAGGTATAGTGCCAATACAATGTACAACGATAGGTTATTGACTACTATTGTGTAGTACAATTTTGCTTTAGCTCTAACCCACCAGAATTAGCTAAATAAAATGTTATTTATTTTAGTTACATATTAGTTATTTAGTTAATAATTAGTTTTTAAAGTGTTATTTAGTTTAGTTTTTGTTGTCTTGTGCATGTAATTCATGAAAGAATGGTTGCCAGGGCCTCAAGGAAGTTGAATTTCTACTTCCAACTCCCAATTTTGAGGCAGAGGGGGTGGGCCAGAGTCTTTTCACTCCTCTTTCCTGCTACCAAACCACACGAGAGGACTTTCGGCTCGCTGTATATTTTGAATGCCCCACACCCTGTATATTTTGAACGATACTACACATTCATGCCACAAATATCATGCCTTTTCCGGAATTCCAACCCAGGGCCTTCGGTACCGCAGTAGGCTTCTCTAACCACTATACAGTTTGGGCGACTAATTTAGATATTTATTAGGTATTGAATTAGTAATTAGTTTTTTAAATGTTATTTAGTTTATTTACGTATTAGTTATGTAGTTAAAAATTAATTTTTAAAATGTTATTTAGTTAAGCTATTTATTAGTTATTTAATTAGTAATTAATTTTAAAAATTGTTATTTAGTTAGTTATTGGTTATTTAGTTAGTAATTAGTTTCTAGTAGATAGTTATTGGTTATTAGTTAGTAATTAGTTCTTTAGTTTATGTAAGGTTACTAAAGACGGCAGGGTAAAGTTGCTAACAAGAACCCAAAGGAAAAACTTTTCAAATTCTATTAGGTTAGGTTAACTGAATATTGCAAAGCATACGAGGCCTTCGTAGAGAACTTTTATAGAAAACTATGGTTTGCATTCACGTTACATATACTATGCAAACCAAACGCAGCCATTCCATTTGCCTGAATGCAAATCCGGGTTATCTACCAATATTTAGTAGTCTTGACCCTACGGCCACTGATTCGGCAGCACCATTAGGCAGACAGACATAGTAAGAGTAGTTTAATATGATCTGTTTTCCAAAGATACCTCGTTCTAAATTTGCTTTCTTTGCCAGACTGTTAATTTTAAGATTAATTGCACATATAGATATATATATATCTGAAATTCTTTACCGTATATTAATTACAGTGCGTGTATAGATATACCACTTCTTGAATATATGCTTTATATTTTATTTCCTTTTTTAAAATTGAATAAACGAAACAAGCTGCATGTACATCATCTCAAAAAAACTTTCAATCCAAGGAAAACTTTCTAAACATCGAAATAGTTATCGATCCCCCTTCTCAAAAGCTGAGGAGAACTATAAAAAAAAAGCGGGTTAAAAATATCGCCAAACA